CCTTAAGTCTCACCAGGAGTGATTCCTGAGCACAGACTTAGGAGTAAACCTTTAGCAGAGGTGTTAACTCAAAATAAAAATCTAAGTAAATAAAAGTGTAAAATAAGAAAATAATTTAGTTATATAATTCAATACCACTCAGCTAAGGTTTCATTTAAAAAATGAAACCTTGCAGTCTGTTTCTACAGAATGGACCTGGGGAGGAGTGGTATCACATTAAGCACCTTAAGTCAGAGGGAGGAGAACCAATACCAGGTGACTTCACTCACCCACGGGATACAGCAAAGCAAAACAAGGAAGCAAGGAGGATCAAATGATGACAAACCTGAGACTTGGATTACAAAATCTAGATAACTAAGCAGTGGGGAAGAGAGGTGGGAGGGAATGAAGAGGTGAACTAAAGGTGACATAGGAACATAGGTAGAGGATTTGGGGACTTTGGTGTGAGGGGAAGTGTACAGTAACATTGTACAGCAATATCCTAAATGCTACATTTTTACAACCGTATTTCCTTAACTCTAATATAACAAAATTTAAAAAATTTAGTTGTACAAAAACTGATGAAATATAAAATAGATTCAAGGATAGAAAAATCTTTGACGTTAAAATTGAAGTAAGTTCAAATTTTACAATGGCGTATACAGTATGCATAGATATTTAAATCAATTTTGCATGTTTTTACAGGGACCACTCAGAGTTTCTTTAACTCCAGAAGTGTTCAGAAGTACTAGGACTACATTTGGTGGTCTAATAGTAGCTGGAGTACAAAGTCACTGCCAAAAAAATCAAACTCAGGACTTCCTACAAACTAGGCATATGTTCTGCCAATTCAACTACCTTTCTATTTTCTGACTCTAAAAAAATTTAGAATTCTACTTTTAATAATAGTTGATGATTTTATCCTTCCTATTGTGTTAAGTAATTTTTAATTAGATAACACTTTAATAATTAAAGTGTTCCATAGGTACACTTTGATGCTTCCAACACAGTCTATTGATCACTAAAGAGCTAACGGGCTCAGTAAGATTTTTTAAAAATCAAAACATGGGACTGAAGAGATACTACAGAAATTAGGTACTTGCCTTCCATGTAGCCACTCTGGTTCATATCCCTGGCACCACATATAATCCACAAGCACTGCCAGGAGTGATCCCTGTAAACAGACCCAAGAAAATCCCCTGAGTACTGTTAGGTGTGCTTCCCCCAAATCAAATAAAATTTTTATTTAAAAAATAAAAGTCAGAATCATGAAAAATTTTAATCTCATCTTTAATATTTTATTTTCTTAAAGTCATACTACCAAATAGATTTTCTGTTAGTACAGATACCTCCATTATATTTAGAAAATAATTTCTATATTTTTATGATAACTTTATGTAAATTATCTTGTATAATTATTAAAGAGAAAATTAAATAAATATATGAATAACATTATATACAGTGATATACCTTGAATACAATATATACAATATATACAATATATACAAAATTTGCGAAAGCACAGCGGGTAGGGCGTTCGCCTTACAAGCGGCCAACATGGCCGACCCGAGTTCGATTCCTCCGCCCCTCTCTGAGAGCCCGGCAAGCTACCGAGAGTATTCGATATGCCAGACACGTAACAACAAAATCTCCAATGGAGAACGTTACTGGGCCCGCTCGAGCAAATTGACGATCAACGGGAGGGCCTTTACCTTTACCTTTACCTTTACAAAATTTGAAATAAACAAACCCACAAATAAGTAAATTCAGTACTCATTCAGCCAGTTTGAATGAAATAGTTGGTGTTGGTTATTCCTTCCTGATTTCAATCCATTGTTATATGTGATGACTCACAGAATAACAACTGATCCTAGGGATAAGGTCTTCAAGCCCCATCAAACCGCAGACTTCACCATTCCATCCACTTCTGAGTGAATAAAATAACCCCAAAACAGTAGAACAAGTCACTTACATTTCTCGCTGAAGCATCTGACAGAGAATCGACTGAAAAAATTGAGGTATGAAAAGTCTTAAGTAAAATTATAAAATAAGATGGTCAATATTTAAGTTATTGCATCTTGCATCACTGCTGAATTTTGTAAACTTAGTAATCAGACAATTATTTAAGATATACAGTTAACAAAACTTTTTTTAAAACACTATCCAGACATAGTGTGTGAATACTTTGAAGAGCTCATGAGTAGATCTTTATGTAGGTGGAGTGCTGGTGTTGAAATACTGAGTCTGGCAGAGCTTACGGTTCATCATTTTTACTTTTATCTATTTCTAGTCAGCAAACAGAGGAAATATGTATTGTATCATGTCTTAAAAGTTTGAAAAACTGTCAAGTATTTTTGCAGTCTCCAGTTTTATCTTAAAATTTTCCATACTTAGAGTCTTTCTATAAGTGATTCTAATATATAAATTAGGTGCTCTTCTATAAAATTTGAATTTATGTATCATTAAGATGCATCTACTTTATTCAAAGTCATTGACTTCATTTTTCACTATGTAGCAATGAAACATAGCAGTTGTTAATTATGCCATGTCCCATCTACATGAAATGGCAAAGTCTGTGATATGGTTTACCTCTTTGCTTAATGTGGTTTGAAATTCATTGGTTATCTTTCTGTTATAAACGTCCCGCTTGGATCATATCCTGTCTAAAACCTTCCTGAACTTATCATTACTTCTCACATGATACACTGCTAATAGTCTGCAATTTTGTATACAGTGTTTATTATATTTTGCCTTACTTTATAAGAAATGTGTCTCTCTGAGCCAGAGCAATGGTTTATTTTGCTTTGCATGTGGGAAGCTTGAGTTTGGTCCTTGATCCTATCTGGTATCCAAGTTTGGCCAGAAGCAACATCCAAGCACAGACTGAGGAGCAGTCTCTGAGTACTATCAAGTATGGCCTGATATTTTTTATTTTATTTTGTTTTATTTTTATTTTTCGGTCACTCCCAGCGACGCTCAGGGGTTACTCCTAGCTCTGCACTCAGGAATATTACTCCTGGCGGTGCTTGGGGGACCATATGGGATGCTGGGAATCAAACCCAGGTCGGCCACGTGCAAGGCAAACATCCTACCCCTGTGCTATTGCTCCAGCCCCTGGCCTAATATTTTTAATTAAAAAAATCTGTATCTGTTTGTCTTATTAATTGCCAAAAATTATGTTTTTCATTATAACCCTGACAACATCTATGCACAATGCTATATAAATAGAAGTTATGCTAGATTTGTAAATATGTCTATCTACCAGCAGTATATAGATATATGTATAAGATTTGTGCTTTTAGTTATGTATGGTCTTCTGGTAGAATTGAAAAACTTACTAAAATTTTAAAATCTTGTCATAAATGGCACTTGATATTTTTAAATTCCAACTTTATTTTTTAATTAACATGATAAAATTCATGCAAATTTTAATGCATTTTCTTTTATATTTAATCTTCTTGTACTTAATGCATTTTTCTTTTATATTTAATCAATCTTTTGTCATATTTGGAAGACACTGAGAGTTAATAAAATTCCATTAGATTCCTGACTTCTAATTATAAAGTCACCCAAAAAATAATAAAAATTACATTTGGGATTGGCATATGGTTAATATTTAACTTTAAATAGGAAACTTTCAAATGTATTAACCTATAACAATGTACTTACAAAACTCTGTAAAACTAGGGACTTACAAGGCTTAAAATATCTGTATATCTGACTTCTTGAATTTTATCTAATCAATGATCAGATTACTTTGCAAATAAAAGAATAAAAAAAATTGAGGAAACTTAAAGAAAAATCCCCTTGCCATCTTCTATCATCAAACTTAATTCTTTTCTTTCAAAATCCCCTATGCCTTTGCATAAACATAATCCAAAATGACAAAAAAGAAAATTAATGCAAAAGATAATATTCATTAGAAATAACTACATGTCTGTATTTGAACTTAAGCAATATATACAAACTAACTGCATTGACAACATATTTTTATTTTATTATTTTTTTATAGTGCGACATCATGAGGTACAGTTGAAGACTTACACATTTTTGTGCTTGGGTTTCAATTATACAATGATCAAATGCCCATCCCTCCACCAGTGCCCATTTCCCACCACCACGGATCCCAGTAGCCCTCCCACTTCCCATCCCCCCATCGCACCCTGCCTCTGTACCAGGGCATTCCCTTTTGTTCTCTCTCTCTTTGACAACATATTTTAATCCATTCTCCTACATTATTTATTGAATATTTTCTATTATATGATATTATAATTTTTTAAGTAATTTATCTCAGCTTTCTCAAATATTAGCAACAATAATTGATTTACTATAAAAAATGAATACACTATGGAAATTAAAAATGGGACAAAATGTTTTGTGACCTTCCTTTACCAAATGTTGAAAATAGTTTCTCCTAAGTAGCATTAATTTTTTATTGTCTATAGCTTGCAAAATTCCATCAACTAAATTCACTTCATGGTCATTATTAAATAATATGTTTTATGAACTTCAAGAGATCACTAAATAGGAAGAGATAATAATAAGTAGAGAGATAATTCAGCAGATAGAGTTCTTGCCTTACATGCAGCTAAACTAAATTAATCCCAGCATCCCATGTGGTTCCCCAAGCAAAGCCAGGAGTGTCCCCTGAGCACAGAGACAGGAATAACCCCGAAGACAGCTGAGTATGACCCCAAAACAAACAAAAATAGAGGTCACTAAATAGCTGCTTACACCCACACTAACATTCTGTGTTAAACTGAGGTAGGATTCATCCCAGATTTACTTTTATTGACATATAAAGAAAAGTAGCATTCTCAAATAATACTTGAATATTTATTTTTACAATAATTCATGTAATACTATAAAATTGCAACACACTTTTAAATCAACTTTTAAAAAGTCATTGAATGAGATACCTAAAAATTTGTTAGTGACTGGTCCAAAACAAAGAGCTAATCATAATATAATCCATTCTACAACTCGAATTTCTGAATTTCCATTAACATTTGATTTTACAGACTTCTGGGATATTTCGGAACAAGATGAAAGTCCTCCTTCTATTTATGGCCATCTTGGCCATAACTGTTGGTTTCCCAGTAAGTACTCATTTCCACATTCCTGAGTATGTGTTTTTTTCATTCTAATACATAAATCTTAGAAATTCTTATGTTCCAGTGCTGTGTACTAATTTACAAGAACATCAAACACCATCACTTTATTTTGTTCAAGAAACTATCTGTCGTATACTGTTCAGTACATACTTCAATTTGATAAAGCCTCTATTTATTCATCTATTTATTTGGTATTGGAGCCATACCCAGTGGTGTCAGAGCTTGCATCTGGTTTTTTGTTTAGGGATCACTTCTGGAGTTGCTCAGGCTGTCATATGTGATGCTGGGAGTCAAAGCAGTGGTCTACCATACGTAAGGCAAAGGCCTTGCTTCTACATCCTTGTAGTGATCACTTTGATGCATTTAAAATGCATATTAATAATCAGAAACTGTTCTACAATATCTATAGACCATGAAATCCCATTTTTTTAAAAATAAAAGTATATCATTTACAAGTAAAAAATATTTTCTTTATAGTATGTATTGCATGAACTGAGTTAATTGTATTGTTTTAGGTCTCTCAAGATGAGGAACAAGAGAAACAAAATGTAAGTTGCATTTTCTCATCTTAACATTTGTGCTTTCATGTGAAATATCTATAACCATGACAAAAAAATATTCTTTTATCCAACATTCTCAATCTCTAGAGAAATTTGTATAGAGTCTGAGAATTAGAATTCAACAATGGCTTAATCCTCAGAAACTTGACTGTATATATAAAATGAATTTTATGGCTTATTATCTTAGCATCTCATTTAACAGTGTGATGATGATTGAATCTCAAATCCTCTACAACCAATTATATTGCATTTTTAGTAAAATTGCCTAATATTTTAAAGACTCCTGATTATTCAGATCTCCACTGTAATTAACTCTACAAAGTCCAGTTCAACAAAGGCAAAAAGTAATTTAAATTTAAGAAAATCAGAGATGGAGTCTCAAGTTTGAGCAGTCCCATCCCACTAATGGCGAGTTTATTAAAGAATTATGCTGAACTATACAATAAGAAAAATAAAATGCATTCAAGAAAATTAAAATTTTGAAAGAGAAGCTTTTGTTTTTTTTTTGTTTTTTTGTTTTTTTTTTTCCCCTTTATTTTATTTTATTATTTTAAAGTTGTAGATTTACAATTTTTTGTGCTTTGGTTTCAATTATACAATGATCAGATACCCATCCCTCCACCAGTGCCCATTTTCCACCACCATGGATAATATCCCTCCCACCCCCATCCCCCCATCCCCCCGTCTCTGTGGCAGGGCGATCCCCTGTGTTCTCTCTCTCCTTTTGAGTGTTGTGGTCTGCAAAAGAGGCATTGAGTGGCAAACATGTTCAGTCCATAGTCTACTTTCGACATGCATCTCCCCTCCTGGGAGGATCCTCCAAACATCCTTTATTTGGTGCTCCCTTCTCTATCTGAATAGCCCTTTCCTCCAGGATACCCGGCTGGCCTCTAAGTTATGGAGTAATCCTCCTGGTGCTGATCTCAGCTATTCTTGGGTATTAATCTCATACTTTGTTACTTTATATCCCCCAGATGAATGCAATCTTTCTATGTCTATCCCTCTCTTTCTGACTCATTTCGCTTAGCATGATACTTTCCATATTGTACCACTTGTATGTAAATTTCATGACTTCATCTTTTCTAAGAGCTACATAGTACTCCATTGTGTAGATGTACCAAAGTTTCTTTAACCAGTCATCTGTTCTTGGGCATTCAGGTTTCTTCCAGTTTCTGGCTATTGTAAAGAGGGCTGCAATGAACAAACAAGTGCAGATGTCACTTCGACTATACATTTTTGCCTCTCTGGGATATATTCCCAGGAGTGGTATTGCTGGGTCAAATGGGAGCTCAATTTCTAATTTTTTGAGAATCGTCCATACTGTTTTCCAGAAGGGCTGAACCAGTGGACATTCCCACCAACAGTGAAGGAGTGTCCCTTTCTCGCCACATCCACGCCAGCATCGGTTGCTTTTGTTCTTTTGAATGTGGGCCAGTCTCTGAGGTGTGAGATGGTATCTCATTGTGGTTTTGATCTGCATCTCCCTGATGATTAATGATGTAGAGCATTTTCTCATGTGCTTTTTTGCCATTCGGATTTCTTCTTTGAGAAAGTTTCTGTTCATTTCATTGCCCCATTTTTGGATGGGGTTGGATGTTTTCTTCTTGTGGAGTTTAACCAGTATTTTGTATATCCTGGATATCAACCCCTTGTCAGATGTGTATTCGGTGAATATCCTTTCCCATTCTGTAGACTGTCTTTGTACTTTGGTCACTGTTTCTTTGGAGGTGCAGAAGCTTCTTAGTTTAAGATAGTCCCATTTATCTATCTCTGTTTTCACTTGCTCGGCCAGTGGCGTGGCATCTTTGAAGATACCATTAGGAGAAGCTTTTGTTTTTAAGAATTTATTTATGCTTGTATATATCTAGAGATATTAATATCTGAAAGTGTGGTTTTTAAGGCAAAAATATAGACAATGATAAGAATATTGAATAGGGATAGGGATATAGATATAAAACAAAAGAAAGTGAAAGAATGAAAAGCCAAGGAACTGGTGTCTATACCTAGTTTGAACAAAAACTGTGAGAACTTTATAGATCACAGTATATTAATAAAAATAAATGTTAAATAAACTTGTAAAAAGGCAAAAGAAAAGTTTTTATATCCAATCATCAATCCCTTTTCCTTTCACTTTATAGTTATAAAAGTGATTTTAGGTTTGTAAATCTAAAAAAAAAAGCATAACTGAAACCCAAGCACAAAAATTTGTAAATATGAAAAAAAATTTATTTTAGGAAAAATGAGATATGAGTAACTGGTTGTGATCAATTAATTGCAAATACCACTGCACTCGGATTAGCTGGAGAGATAGCACAGCAGGTAGGGCATTTGCCTTGCACACACACACCCAGATTTGATTCCTTCACCCCTCTCGGAGAGCCCGGCAAGCTACCAAGAGTATCTCGCACTCATAGCAAAGCCTGGCAAGCCACCTGTGATGTATTTGATATGCCAAAAACAGTAACAAGTCTCACAATGGAGACGTTACTGGGCCCGCTCGAGCAAATCAATGAACTACAGGAGGACAGTAACAGTGACAGTGAGATATGAGTAAAATGGTAAAAGGAGATCATTTTCTCTGTGTAATTTTCTTATTATTTGTAAATATTGAAAAGTAAATCCCTAGTCATACTAAACATTGGATAGACAGATGATTTTAAACTGGCTAAAACTTCTATTTAAAAGTGAGGACCCTTATGCTAGAGATTTAGCTAAAGGTTTTCACTTTTACCAAGAGTCAATGAACTTTTTAATTTCTTTCAACAGGTCAGTAGGAGCATTGAACCAAATTCACAATTTTATTACCCCTCTTACCAATATCCATATGGCTTCTACCTACCATTCTTTTATCAAAGATATCCATGGTTTCGATTTTACTATATTCCTATTCCAATACCGTTCCCTGTTCCTACCACTACCCCTATCCCTACTGATCAGCCGTAAGCAGAGACCCAGTGCAGTTTAAAAGGAAATGAGAGGTAAGTACATGTAGTTCAAAGCATGGATTTTTTGTTGGCGGTGGTGTTGTTGTCTTAAATTTCTAAAGCATCATCCTTTGAAGAATATTCAGTGCTTGAATTTGGTTTCTTTCAAATACAATTTCTCCCATAGAAACTGTTAGGGACTCTATCGTAGATGTGTTTATGAGCCTTTCCATGATCTGAATCCCTCATTTCCTATGATATAATATATATGAAGCCTCTCCTACTGAAATATTATGGGGGCTGAAAAGAAAGTACAAGGGTAAGGTTTAAGATATTTTAGAGATTAATTTTTACATTTTCTCTATAATCAGCTTTGAATTTTGGCCCTGAGTCAGAAGGCTAAAGACTGAAAACCTTAATCAAAGAAATCTCCATAGATAAACCTGCAGATCTGGATTCCAAGATAAACCTCAAGTTATTCTTAGAAAAATTGTATATTTCTTTGATCAACATTAAAATCCCAAACAATTTCTGATTGTCATATTATAACAGAATCCTAAAGGTCAGATAAATCCATAAAAAAGAAATCTTTATCTCCTTATTGTATCATAAGTAAAGTGAATGTCTTGTCAATTACCTAAGTAAGGTGAATGGCTTGTCAATTACTTTATGAGGTAATTTATGTTGGAATGCTTGATCCTTTACCTAATGAGGTAATTTACGTTGGAATGCTTGATACAGTTCTTGTATTCTAGGACACAAGAACTTTTATGTAATACATATTGGAAGTTTCGCCTTCCTTCCTATATCTAGTCAGTTTTTCTCTAGTAGAAATCAAATTAATCTTTCAATTAGATATAGTTATATGATAACATTTATAATTTAAATGTAAAATGCAAGTTCGTAAAAAAAATACCTGTTAAGTCAGTGATTCTTTGTCTCTTATTTATTTCAGGTAACTCTAAAAATGTATGTGAGCTACTTCCCTGAAGGATAAACATTCCAATAAATAAAATTAATGCAATGAAGTAATGTATGGTGTTCTCTCATTAATACCTTTAATAGTCATCTGTAGTAAGTTTTAAAGAAAGATATGAATTTTCTAATTTCTAAATTTGCCTTGCTATTAGGAACCCAAAATAAATTGTAACATAATATACATATCTTGAGAACTATCCTTCTAGAGAAATTATGGTATGTGAGGGTGACCAAAATCAAACCGTCCTGCATTTAGAGTTCATTCAGAAGCTATGCTAAACAGTTGCACTGACTGTGTAGCCAAGGACTAGAGACATATTTCATTTAAGCCAATTTTTCACTAATTTAGTTTCAGTATTCAATTGGGTTGATAATATATATGCATATATATTATGTCATGTTGCATATATACTATGTCATATTGCATAAGCTTATATATAATAAGCTATTAAGCTTGATGGGTGAAAAAAGAATACTAAAACTACTGTTTTAAATTTCAAAAGACTCAAATTTAGACAATTCA